GGAAATTGAAAAATAAATAAACAAATTGAAAGTTAGAGCTCTAAACAAGACATTGTGCTGACAATTAGCAGGTAAGAGAGGTATGGTACAGGGAAATGAGGGTATTGGTTGGAGATTTCTCTTGTAATTCAACAATGAAAAACCTTAAGCCTCTCCTGTCCTCATGAATGAATTCTTTTTGACTAATCTATTAGGGAAAGGGAAAACGAAACAGGAAAAAGGAGGTTTTCCTAAAAGTGTACTCTGAGTTAATTCAGTTGTTTTGCTGTGATAGGGGGTCCCTATGCCCATGTGACTAAGGATTCACTTGATGGAGGGTCAAAGTCTGAAAGCATCAACAGCCCTATTGGAGATGCATTCTTGTTTGTCACCAAATTGAGCCTTTAGAAAATGTCTGAAAGAACCAAATTAGACAGAACTTAACCTGCTCTCTCCATTTCTAGACACAACTGACCAATGTACTTGAGCCCAGTCATTTAAATTCCTGCATTTTCTTGAGGTCGTGCATGCCTCAGTATGAACCAACCTATAATGTGTTTAGCAATATTAAGATGCAACAATCTATCTTAAGTAAGTTGACCACAGTCAGTGCCTAATATGTCTGTGACTATTAGTACTTTGTGTTTGTACATTATTTAAATGTGTACATCTTGCAGAGTTAAAAGATCTAAGCCTAGTTCATGTAAAACAATCGGCTAATTCTCCCTTTACACATTAGGTCTGGTTTTCACATACAAAAATGGCCAAACAAACTGGAAATTTCTGCTGTTAGTAATCATGGCTATGCAGTTAGAACAAAGTACACCATTTGTACAATCATGCTTTGTAAAGTCTCCCCTACATCTATTTTTCTGAACCCAACAAAGGAAATGTGTACAGTAGGAAAAGGACTATTGCAGATCTTTGGCACTGTCTCCCTAATTTGTAAGAGACTGAGGTTTTCACTTTTGTCAGTACTGACAAATTTGGATGAAATTTTGGACAGCTATTATCTTACTGGGCCAAATACTCCTTAGTGAGGGAAAAAACGAGGGAGGGAGTAAAAATATTTGACAAGAAATGCACTCCTGACCTTACATAGGTAACTGTAAACCTTTTGTATATCACCTTGACAATAAAATTAAATTGAAACTTATTCTATGGTTTGCTTTAAGAGTGAAAATAAAATTAATGCGCCTATTGCTTCCTGTAATGTTTTCAAGATGTCTGGTTTTATTTCAAGATCTTTAATCCATTTGGTGTTGACTCTGGTGCAGAGTGATATAAGGATCTAGCTTTGGTTTGCTTCAAGTGTTTAAGCAATTTTGCCAGCACTATTTACAAAAGATGTCCCCTTTCTTCAATTCTATGTTTTTAGTTCTTTATGGAAGATTAGCTGGCTAGAAGGAATTCTGACTCTTTAAAAACATGTGTGCTTTCCTCTCCCTAATTCTTCCTATTTAATGCAAAGCAAATGTCTATACCTCCAAAGGTGGCTAAAAATATACTGAAGTGCTGTGTTCTGTGGCTGCCTATAAGTCTTTCTTTATACCTCACCATGTCTCAGGGTTTGCCTGACAACTGGGATTCCTGAAGTTTGGCTCTAGGGTATAAAATGCCACATTTTACTCTCATTTCTCATTTGAACAAATGGAATATTATTCACAAAGAAATAAAGCAGTTCAGAAATATTTTAGTTTCCACAGAGGTTTTGGAAGAACACATCAATAATTTTCAATGTAGTTAAACTGTCACGGTTTTGAATCTAATATACTTACCCACTGAAATTGAAACAAAATTTGACCTAAGTGATAAGTGGAAGCTCAAAAGCATTCCTATAGAGGGGTAAAGTAAACAGAAATAAGTACATGGTAAGAAAGAGACAAAAGAATACAATGAGATCAAAATAAGGCGTACAAAAATGGAGTGAGATATGCCACCGTATTTCTGATGTTCTATTTTACACTAGAATGACGTTGGAAAATAAAAAGGAATGGCAAATTTCACAAAAGTCAAAAGACTGTTGAGTGTCGACAAAGCAGCACTTACTATTACAGAATAGGCATATCCTGATTTGTATTAAGCAAATACCCAATAAAGACAAGGTTGTAAATAGCCAATGGTACATCAAAGTATATGATTTTGATGTTGAGAAATAAGAAAAAGACAAACTAAGCAATAATCATTCCGACTCATAATGCAAGATACTACCGTTTTTTGATGGTAACATAATAAAGCCAGCACAAGCCAAAAAGTTCACAAGACTTTATCTGCAATTAAACAGCAAGAGGCATTTTGTGGGAATGCCTCATTTGGCAGCACAGCAGACATGAGTGAAAAAAGTTATGCTCATGGCCTGGTTCCAAATTCAAGCCACACTACCACCCCACATGAAAATACATATACAAAAACATAAACAAAATAATTTTAAGAAATACAAGAAGGAAAGAAAGGAAGAAAGTGAGGAAGGATGAAAGAAAGGATGAAGGAAGGAAACAACAAAGAAAAGAAGGAACAAGAACAAGAAAATTGACTTTAGAGGCATAATAGTTGCTAAAACAAAGAAAACAATCCAAGCCAGCATTTAATTAAAGAAACCATACTCATAGTTAACAAGTAGAAAGAAATAATAAGGATAAGAGGTGAATTTTTTTAAAAAGAATCAACTAAACAGAACCTGAGTTCTTCTAAAAGAGAAAAGTTGAAGAAATCCCTAGTCACACTAACCAAAAGAAAGATGGAAAACACCCAAATCAAATAACAGACAAATGACTGGGAAATATGCAGCTGGAAAACACAGAGAAAGCAAGAGCTGGAGGCCAAGACAACACTTTGAAGACTGGGTGGCAGGAAGAAGGGCAAGGGGAGATCAAGGCTTAAAAATGATGACCTGGAGTTTCTCAGAATTGGTTATGCTTTGAAGAGGGCTGAGGTAGGTGGGATGGACAGTGGTTGGGCACAGCCTAAAAGAACATGGTTTCGAAGTGTAGTAGGAAGACCCCTACTCAGGCAGCAAGCCCACCTACTTGTTGGGAGTGACAGAGCCCACCGCAACAAAGTTGTTATTAAAGAAGCAACTTTATTGAGAAGGTTCCTACACTGACCAACCAGGGCCGCAGCACAGGCTGGGGAGCTGATACTGCGACCTGGAGTGGCCCACATGCTTAGGTTTTTAAAGGCAAAAATCACAAGGTGAAGCCTGGTCACATAGGTGACCAATGAGATTGTCACACACCCAAAAGATTGCCCAGTAATACCAGACCACAAGCAGGTGGCCAATGAGGTTACACTTTGTCACATAATGGCTGTTTAAACCAGCGATCACTTTTGGTTTAAATGACTCATGAATTCAAAGGTAAGGCTGAGCTTAAGGTAAGCATACACAAAGGAGTTTAGGGGAGTTTAACATAAGCAGGTGAAAAAGGCAGAGTTTATGGTAAACTCCTGATGTTGCCAGCAAGGGCCAGATTACTGGCTATCTGTTTAATCTGTCAGTCCTTAACAGAACAATGAAGGTGGGTTAAGTTGTTAAGGGGAAGGAGACCTAGAGGCATTCTTTCCATTCCAAGAACTGGGCTGGTTGGAGCCAAGGTCCAGTTAATCTTGTTTAGAGGTTTTTTCCCCTAAAATCCCTAAAACAAGGGCAAAGCCTGGAAAGAAGCTGTACTAGCAGGAGTCTCCTCTCAGGGCCTACTTCAGAAGGTCCAAAGGCAAATTTGGTTCCATCTGGAGATGTTTCTGTGGAGAAAGGTTCAGTGGATCTGGAGCAGGACTGAGAAACTCAGGGAACCCTGAGGATGCAGAAATGACATCAGCATCTGGGCTGGCAGAGGACCAGCAGCACAGAGTAGGAGTCCAGAGACTGGACCAAATCCAACCAGGACAGGAGATCATCAGATAAGCAAACAGCATCAGGGCCTCTGGAGGAAGTGGAGCCCAGACATTTTGGAAGAAGAACTGCATAGAGTTAGAGGAGAGGTACCTTGCAGTTGGTTTCTAATAGACTAACTTACAGAGCAGAGTTGTGAGGTGTCAGGAGAGAAGGTGTAAAATGACAGGCTGTACCCTGCTGTACCTTCCTAACTCACACACTCAGCCTGGAAAGAAAGGCTTCTAGGACAGTGGGACCACTGTCACTGGAGGAAAAGGAACACTAGCTGGAGAGCAAACTCATAGGACTGCTAAGGTAACGATATTTCTGTGAATTTCTATGATGGAGAATTACACATTGAAGGTAAAGCTGCATTGCTGCCCTGAGACATGCCCCTGTGTTCCCCGGGGAAGCATGGTTAGGTCAACTCTCCTCAGATTCAATTGGAGCCCAGAGGCTGGAAGACTCTAGATGGGCCACCTGGATGAGGAACCTCGGAGGAAGTGGAGAGAGGAACTTAGGAGAAAAGGACTGCATGGAGTTTCATGAGAGGAGGCACTCTCAGTGATTTGTATGAAGTGAAAATACAAGGCAGAGCTGTGAGGCATCAGAAAAAGATCTCTACATGGTGAAATGTCCCCTACTGCCAATTCCTCCACCAACTCCTCAACTCTGAGCAGAAGGATATATAGGACAATGGGAGGGGATCAGTAGAACAGAAGAGTCAAAGACACCATCTACAGAGCAGCTTCTTAGAACCACTAGGTATTTTTAATTCTGTCATGAAGAATGACACATTGCATGCAAAGCTGCAGCAATAGTAACAAAATATGTCCCCATCTCCCACAAGTGAGCAAGGTTGGGGCAAGTGTTGCCCACAGCCTACACTGGAACTCCAGCAGTTCCTCCTGGCTTTAGGAGAGGAAAGGAGGCCACCCCCCTGTCTGGCCTTGTTCTCACTGACCAATGGGGTGAGAGACTTGGCCACACCCACATTCTATGCTGCCTAGCACTGCCCTGGAATTCTCCCTCTGGTTCACACCACAGCTAGGAGTTATTGGAGGTGGTAGTGCTTGGTGACTGATCAGTAAGTGTATTTGTTTGAATCCTTGTTAATTGCCCCCACACACCTTCCCGTCCCACCCCTGCCATGTCTGAAAACCAGAGACAACAACAACTAGCTGCCGCCAGGAAACAACTTGGACAATATCGTGAGAGAAACAGCCTCACGGGTCCTGCAGGAGCCAACAACATACAGCCTCAAATCCACAGAGCATCTGAGACCAATCCTGTGGATAAGCCACTTGAAGAGGCCCTCCAAGACCACAATGCTCCGGTAATGGCAGATCAATCTCCATTCCCTCCCAGTGTCCCTTCCCCTCATCCTGTTACAAGCAACACAGCATCAGTTGAAGACCATGATGCTGAATTCAGCCTGAACAGTACGGCCGGACTCGAGAACCTGAAACAACTGTCTGAAAAGCTTATGAGCTTTGTGTCTGACACCACACTCCAGGACGACAGGGATCATCTCCCATGTTCTGAAATGATGGAGGATCTGGAAGAGCTATACGAAGGGCTGGCAGAAGCCCTGGACACCTGCTGTAAATCCAACTTACAACTCACCAAGAAGGTGAAACTATTGGACAAAAAAAACAGAGAAAGTCTGAATCAATTACACCAACAAAAAGCCAACCAGCAAAACTTACTGCAAGAAAACAACGAGCTAAGAAAACACCTGCAGCTCCATAAGCAAACCATTCAAATTCTAGAAGCAGAAAAGAACCATTTGCACACAGACCTGGCCCAGCTACAGCAGGTAGTCGCTGATAAATCATGGGAGATGCAGAGTCTTACCAACAGCCTGCAGTCTTCCCAAATGCGAGTGGCAGAGCTAGAGGCTGTCCTTTCTTCCATGACCACTCAGCAGGAGGAGGAAAAGGAGCACTCTAGGGAGCTCAGGAGGCAGACAGACAGCCTCCAAGAGGAACTGAGAAAAACCAACAAGACCATTAGAGAACTACAGGAGTACAACTCCACATTGGAAGAACGTCTTCAAGCAACCAGAGAACACGGAATGGAGGAGCTCCAAAAGGAGCTAGCAACATCAACCATACTCCCTTTAAAGTGTTCTGGCCCTTTGGCACAGCAAGTCAATCCTCAGGATTTGCCACAGGCCATTGAAGACAAAGCACAACTGGAGACCCAAGTAGGGTCACTGAAAGAGGAGCTGGAGAACATGGCCAGACAGCTTCAAGCACAGCTGGACCTCAATAAGACCTTAAGTCAACAAAAACTCCAGCAGGAAGAGCAGCTGCTGGCCCTAGAGCTGGCCTCCAAGATGTGCAATGAGCAGGCAGTAGCTCGCCGGGATCAATTATTAGAGACCCTGACCCACAATCAAAGCACCATAAGAGATGCTCTGGGAGAGAACCAGCACCTCAGGAACCAGCTGGCCCAACTGCAAGATGGCTTGGGAAAGCTCAGCAGTCACAACACCCAGCTGACCAGCACCTTGCAGGCAGAGCAGCATACAAAGAAACATCTGGCCAAGCAGCTGGAGCAGCTGCAGCAGGAGGTGCTGCAGGGCAGGAGGGAAATCCAGTCAGTCAACCAGAATTTGCAGCAGACCCAGGAGCAGCTCACAGCTACCATGCAGCAGAACCAGCAGCTGCAGGCTCAGGTGAGTCTCCTGGCTGTCCCTGCAGGAAGTGAAATAGAAGGGACAAAGGATGATGAGGCCGCCAGGCTCACCCTCACCATCCCTGACAATGTTGAGAGCAGAGAAGACATCATTGCTTTTGTCGCTCAGGCTCAAACCTCAGCTGAAGCAGAGAGGGCCCGGCTGGGGCACCAACTGAGGCAGCAGAAATTGCGCTGCCAATGCCTGGCTCAACTCGCAGCCCTGAACCACACCAGGCCTGAGCAGGAGGCCCTAGCCCCACACAGTGGGGGGGACTCCATTTCTCAGGAAATACAGAGTATCATGCAGAAGATAGAAAACCTTGCAAGGTTTTTCAAGGAAGACCTTCGTGTCAAAACATTCGTAAAAGAGCAAGTGGAAGACCTTGAACTCCTCTTCATGCAGCTCAGAGGAGAGGTGGACAGCATCCCAGACGATGCTGCTTTCTATGGCAGACATCTGAAGGCGCTGGAGAAGCAACAGCGGGAGAAGGAGCAATACATCGCCCAGCTCGACCGGGACACACAACAGATGGCACTGGAGCTGCAGGATCTACTGTTGCAACTGGAGCAGGGAAAATCTCAGGCAGCCTCTCAGAGCCCACCTGGGAAACCCACCTCAGGCCCCACAGGCCCCCAAGAAGCTGCCTCAGCCTGTGCTGACGATTTCGAAGATATAGACATCAATGAAGATGAGGACACTGCAGCAGGAGGGACACGGGAGGCTTCACTCCTGGAGAAGCCCAGTGTGCAGCGCATAGTACCAGTGCTGCCTGACTTTGAACAAATGAGGAAGGAGGAGGAAGCAGCAGCAGGCCTGGGCAGCCAGTTCATCCCTTTTCACTACCGGCCTGCTAAGGATGACCCGCTAGACATCTTCGTCATCTAAGAGCATCCTTGCTCAAGCCCTCAGGAATGGTGCCAACATTCTGCCGTTCCCCATATTCTGTCACCCCAGTTCTCTCCATCCCTGACCCTTCACTCTATCCCTCCCCTTCTTCTTATCATTCCTTCCCACTTTCCCTTTTTGCATTACCCTTGGAAGGTCTGACCCCTGGTGTAACACTAACAGACCCTGTGCCACCTTGGCAAAACTGAGACAGACTTGAGGCAGTCCTGCTCAATGGGAAGAGCTGGGGTCATGCAGTGAGCACACTGCCTCTCCAGAGGTGCTGGGGACCTTTCTCCAAATCAGACACTCTGGATAAGAAGGTGGAGGCCACATTTTGTCTTGGCCTTTGCACAGATTGATGGGCTCACTTGCAGGGTGAGAGTTTCCTTGGGCAGGACAGTCCTGCATTCAATAGGGCACATATAACATATATTGTGGGACTGAATTTCTTTTCATCGGGATGACAATGAACCCGGGATCTTGCCCAGATCAGCTCCTATCTTCTTTTTACACCTGGATCAGTTGGCAGAGCAGGCCATCCTCCTTGGGTTCCATCCTATTCCAGGCATCTCAGGGCACCACACCAGGCAGCATTCATTCAGATCCAGTGAAAATGGAGAAGCAAATGAAGGACCTACACAGAGGAAGTAGATGGGATATGCAACATAGAACATGAGAGAAATCACTTGACATACGAAGGACACAGAAAAGGGTTATTAGAGGAGCAAACACAGATGAGCTTGGGCTTTTTGACCGTTTGAATTTGTTTAATATGTTTTAAGCTCATAGAGTTACACTATATTGCATGACAGAGTCATTAGCAGTTTTCAAAGTGTGCTGGATTTTAACTAATAGTGCGAAATTTTACTGCTTGTAACATAAAGGCCACAGTTTAGCTGCTGATTTCAGGAAACAATTGTAACCAAAAAAAGAATAAAGGTTGTAATAAAGCTGAAATTGTGGGGCTCAAAAATTTCAGCTTTATTACAACCTTTTTTCTTTTTCTTTTGTTTTAATCCAGCGCACTTTGAAAACTTCTAATGACTCTGTCATGCAATGTAGTGTAACTCTCTGAGCTCGTACCATCCTATAATAAAACATAATAAACAAATTCAAACGGTCAAGAAGCCCAAGTTCATCTGTAACCATTTGCTCCTCTAGTATTCAAATGTTTTGCTTTTTCTCCCTTTTGGTGCAATTGTTTCTAACATATTTACAAGATGATTTCTATGTTGTTTTGTATGTCCCTCCCCCACGATATAACCCATGCTTTCACTGTATTTGATGGTGGTGTAATTTGTGGAGGGGAAGGGAAAAAACAATCATTTAAGTAGGGATACAGGTGGACCCACTGCAACAATGAGATGGACAAGTCATGTGGAAAAACGAACTTCGTGACTTTGGTGGAGGGGAAGATCGGGTGCAGGGAGGGGGAGAGTATGGGAAGGGGAAACAAAGAAAAGGCTTGATAAGAAATGTACTCCTTATCTTACCCAGGTAATTGTAACTCCTCTGTATGGTATTTTCACAATAATAATAATAAAAAAAAACGCTGAAATTTTCACAAACTTGACTGATCTGGTTTTCTTAGACTGTCATTCACAATGTTCATTTGCATAATAAAACAGAATAGTACATTCTCAGATAATTGCTTATGGTCAATTTTATATCAAACTTTTTGAAGCTAAATTGCGTTTTTTCCCCACAATTTTAATGCACTATATGTTGGGCTTTAGAGTTTTCTCCTTTTAAATTCATGTCTTTTGCAAAAACAAGCTAAGTAGCCATGTACAGTGCCCGTGTCTATAATACTATCTTGCAGGATGAATATATTCATTGAATCGTGGTCAATGCCAGCCTTGGCAAAAAGCAAGACCCTATCTCAACAAATGAGTCAGCTTGGTATTTCCCAACCATATGGTTCCTTTCTGGACAGATTTGAGACATATCTAAAAAAGAACCAAGCAAAGTAGGTTAGATTGTGTGTCAAATGGATGCAATGCTATCCACAATCCACAGGGGGCTAAATTCAATCTTAAATACAGCGTACATAGATATCTTTTACCTTGGAAAAACCAAATCGTTTAAATATGGATACAGGTGGACACATTACAACAATGAGATGTACTAGTTCTTATGTTGAAAAACGAACTTCACGACTTTGGGGGGGGAAGGGGGAAGGGGCGGCGGTGGTGGGTGTAGGGGGTGTGGGTGATGGGAAGGGATGGGAAGGGGAAACAAAGGAGGAGGCAACAATGCTCGATGAGAAATGTACTCATTCCCTTGCCCCTCTGTACGGTATTTTCACAATAATTATTGGAACAGTAGTGCTAAGAAGCAAGCATGATATATTGTATGTGGGGAGGAGACAGAGAAGGAGGGAGGTTGGGAGAGAAAGTGGGTATCTAAGAGGAAGAGAAGGAAAAGTTGAACTTTAATATTACAAAATGGTGTTGCCAAGGTTACATTCCTGTTTTTTCAGCTGAGGTACTAATCCTTGGCTATACCACTTCCTTCCTTCCTTCCTTCCTTCCTTCCTTCCTTCCTTCCTTCCTTCCTTCCTTCCTTCCGTCCTCCTTCCTTCTTTCCAACTCCCTTGCTCTTCTTTCTTGCTTGTTTACCTTCTTGCTTGATTGCTTACTTGCCTTCTTTTTCCTGTCTTTCTTTCTTTCTTTCTTTCTTTCTTTCTTTCTTTCTTTCTTTCTTTCTTTCTTTCTTTCTTTCTTTCTCTCTTTCTTTCTTTCTTTCTTTCTTCTGCTTTTCTTTCCTTCCACCTGCCTTCCTTCCTTCCATCTTTCTTTTCCCTCTCTTCCCTTTTGCTCCTACTGAGATCTCAATATCAGAACCCAATAAACTGCAAGAACGAGTTTGAAAGTTTAGAATTTTGGGGAAAAAAGTCAAAACTAGTCACATAAACAGTAACAACTACTTTCTTAGGGTGCCAGGGAAGCAGTAAACAGGAACTCCATACTGGCCACACCAAGTGCTTTGTACCACGGAAAAGCTCCAACACCCAAGAAATCCAGACTTGCTCCCTAGCCCACATAAGCAAGGAGAAATGCAGCTAACTAGTCTTATGATACACCTATGCCACGTCTCAGGGCCTCACTGACTTCGCAGGTCTCATCCTTGCCAGGGGCAGTTATAACCCAACTCCCAGAAAACCACTGCACGTTGCACAAGTGGCTCTGTGTGGCAATCATGCCCAAGGAAGTTGAATCTCAGTCCCAGGGCTCCTATTACACTTCCCAGTAGGCAAGTCCAATTGGCAATTTCAGACCTGAAGGGATAGCTCTCCCCATATTTGTGTAGGATTGGAATTGAAACAGAAGCACTGACACAAACAGCAGCCTTAGAGACTTTCTGTACTGCACTTTATCTTAGGTCTCTGCCAGGACATACACCACATGCAGAGGGAGATCTAGGAGACACAAACTCCCTCTCCCACTAGAGGAACTGCAAGCTATCAAAAGGCACATCACTGAGCTGGGAAGGTGGCTCAGTGGTAGAGCGCTTGCCTTGCATGCATGAGGCCCCGGGTTCAATTCCCCAGAACCACATAAGCAAAAAGAAAAAAAAGCCAGAAGTGGCACTGTGGCTCAAGTGGTAGAGCGCTACCCTTGAGCTGAAGAACTGAGGGCCAGCGCCCAGGGCCAGAGTTCAGGCCCCGCAACCGGACCTAAAAAAAACTAAAAAAAAAAAAAAGTCACATCACTAAGTGGAACTTGACACTGGAAATACATACCATCTTGAGGAGAGAACTTAGTGGACAACAAATGATCACTTCAACAAAGCCAGAATACTGACTGCCTCAAGACTCTGGTAGTAAGTGTCTGTTTATGTGTGTGGGGCTCAGTCTTTGATTTGGATTTTGAGTTGTTCTCATGTTTTCTTCTGGGATTGAAGGCTAGTACTTTTTATTTTTTGTTACGTTTTGTGCTTGATTTTTTAGCTCTTCTTTTCTATTCCATTCCATTTTTTCTTTTTTCCTTTAATCTCCCCTTCCTACCCCATTGCTTTTTCTGGTAATCTACTCCACCTTAACTTTCTCTTACCCTAGGGCCTTAATCTTTTTATACTTAATCCCTTCTATCACCAATTTCCTTACAAGTGAACTCGATACCCACACTGAGCATCTCATTTCCTGTCTTACAGTCTCTATATCTCTACCCTCCCCATCACATCCCCCAATAGTTTAGGTCGAATTTCTACATGGCTATACAAAAATCCAGCTGTGGTATATACAGCAAGAATAGATGTAGGTATACCTATTGGTGGTATCCACTGTATGTAGAGGTTTAATTCAATCTTTATTTGTAGAAGTTATTTGAGGTGAGAATCATTTTCACACCAAATACCTCATTAAACCACAAAACATTTAATCCATTGAGAATACGAAGAATACCACCAGGAAGAATTCATGAAATTCCCATCAGGAAGATGTCAGGAATCTAAAGGCCAGTATACTAAAAGGGTCTTCAGATGAGTGAGGCCTAACACAGAAATACTCAGAAATATAAAAATAAACATAAACACCTCCAGAAAAGAGCAATGGCACAGAAAAGGTAAAAGAAACTTCATACACAAGGCTCAAAGTACTGTTGATAAAATGTTTAATGAAATGAAAGAGTATCTCTACAAGGAACAACATAAACATAATGGCAATACCTTTAGAAAAACAAAAGCATTTTATAGATACACAGTTTAAATGCTATATGGGGCTGGGCACTGGTGGCTCAAGCCTGTAATCCTAACTACTCAGGAGGCTGAGATCTGAGAAAAATGGTTCAAAGCCAGCATGGGCAGAAAAGTACAGGAGCCAGTGAGGATTTGGGGGTGGGGGATCAATGAGGACAAGGAAGGGAGAGGAGTCAGTGAAGACATAGGGGGAGCAGTCATTGAGGACATTCTGGCTGGAGTCATTGAGCATGTGGAGGGGAGAGGAGTCAGTGAGGACATTGGGGGAGGGGTCAGTGAGGACTTAGGGGATGGAACCA